CGAGGTACATGGTGGACGGTGAACTTCTAGAATCGCGAGGTCCAGGCGGAGGTTGTGAGATGATATCGTTGCAAGAGGGGGTCTTTAATTTGGTAGGTACCTGCAAGTTGTTCTACCATGAGTTTAGAGTCGCTATTATAATGAACATTCCTAGCGTCGATGTCGTATGCCAACCTCATTCCGGCTAAGAGTGCCTCGTACTCAACCTGGTTGTTGGTGGCTTGGAAATCAAACTTTAGAGATTGCTCGACAAGGATGTCGTTGGGTCCTTCTAGAATGATGTCGGCGCCTCCTCCTTTTGGGTTGGAGGAGTCGTCCACATGTAGAATCCAAGTTTCTTGATCCTCCAATGTGATAGGGGTCAGCTCGACAACAAAATCTGCCAAACATTGGGACTTAAGTGTTCCCCTGCTTTCATACCGAATTCCAAATTTGGACAACTTGACTGACCATGCAATCATATGTCCAGCGAGCTCGAGTTTCCAGAGTATCTATCAGATAGGGTAGTTAGTTTTGATGATGATTTGGTGACTCTGGAAGTATGGTCGACGACGTCGAGTGGCGGTGACAAGTGCTAGGGCTAACTTCTCGATGGTTTGGTACCTTGTCTTCGTATCTTGGAGGACACGTTGATGAAGCATACTAGGCTCTGCTCGTGTCGTCTTCCTGTACGAGGGCTGCACTAGTTGCGTTCTTGGTAGCCGCAATGTACATGAGTAACTCGCCTTGGTTCTTTGATCGGTTCAAGATTGGTGGAGTGGAGAAGAATTTCTTGAAGGTTGAGAATGCTGCTTCACATTACTCGGTCCAGGCAAATTCCTTGGGTTTTCGTAGTAGGTTGAAGATCAACTTTGCTTTCTTTGCTAACTTTGGTATAAAGCATGAGAGGGAGGCTAACCGGCCTTCCATCCTTTGCACCTCCTTTAATGTCTGGGGAGGCTTCATGTTAATGATGGCTTCACATTTTTCAGGGTTCGCCTCAATCCCCCTGTTGGTGATCATGAAGCCTAGGAACTTTCCTCCCTGTACCCTGAAGGCACATTTTTTGGGGTTTAGTCTCATGTTATGCTTCCTTATTTCTCTGAATACCTCAGCCAAGTCAGCTATATGTGATCCGGTCGAAGTGGTTTTTACGATCATGTCATCAACATAGACCTCCATGTTTTTTGTTGATCTACTGGTGGAAAACTTTGTCCATTAGCCTTTGATAGGTGGCACTATCGTTTTTGAGGTCGAATGGCATTACTCGGTAACAGAAGTTGGCGTGTTCGATGATGAATGTTGTTTTGTCCTCGTCGGGAGGGTACATTGGGATCTGGTTGTATCTTGAGTAGGCATCTAGGAAGTTGAGGAGTGCGTGGTCGGACACACCATCTACCAACCTGTCTATGCTTGGTAATGGGTAAGCATCTTTTGGACATGCTTTGTTGAGGTCGGTGTAATCGACACACATCCTCCATCTGCCTGAGTTCTTCTTCACTAACACTACATTGGCGAGCCAGGTAGTGTAAATGATTTCTTGGATGAACCTTACGATTAGTAGCTTTTGAGTTTCTTTGGCTACAACGTCACGCCTCTCGCCTCTGATCTTACGCCCATCGCTGTGCTATGGGTTTTGCTTCTTTGTGAATGGCTAACCTGTGGCATATAAGGTTCAGACTAATCCCTGGCATGTTATCACTTGACCATGCAAATAGGTAATCATTTTTACGTACCTCGACGATTATTTGTTGGTGTAGCTCCAGGCTTATGTTTTGGCTTACCCTGGTGCACTAGTCTGGGTTTTGACCAATTTGGAATTCTATGAGCTCGTCGACGGGGCTTGGCCTTTGATCGTTGCAATCAGATCGGGGGTCCAGGTCTGACAGCGTTGGACTAGCGATGTGGGCTACTATTGCCTGGGGTGGCTGGTCAACGCGTGGGGTGGAGACCTTAAGACTCTCCACGTAGCATTGACGAGCAATTTTTTGGTTTGCTTTTATGGAGATGATGTCTCCGTTGAGTCTGGGGAATTTCATGGTGAGGTGTGGGGTTGACACTACTGCACCTAACTAGTTCAAAGTAAATTGACCGATGATGATGTTATAAGAGGTGTAAGCTTCGACGAGGAGGTACTTGACCATGACCTTTGTGGTCGAGGGCGGGGTTCCAAAGGTGGTCAGTAGCTCGATGTATCCTCGTTGTGAGTTTGGATAAGTGAGTGTGGGATGTCCAATCGGAGGAAAGTGGGCCAGTAGAGAACGTCGGCTGAGCTTCCCTGGTCAATTAAAGTCTTTTGAACTGCCCAGTTTGCAACCTCGATGGAGATGACAACTAGGTCGTCCTGGTTTGGGTTGATGTCGGCATAGTCCTCGTTGGTGAAGGTGATAGGTGGGCTTTTTGGCCTGTGAGGTGGTGACCGACCTTGGACATGGTTGACGCTACGCAGATGTCACTTGCAAGTGGAGTTGCTGGTGCCGCCCCCCACGAATCCTCTGGCGATGGTGTTGATTACTCCACGGAGGGGGGCCTGGTTGGGTTCCAAGTTGGGTTCAGGCTAGTCGGCATGCTCAATGTTAGGTCTAGACTCGGAAGCTTGGTCATTGCGGGGGTGATATCCTCGGCCTCTACCTCGTCCTCGCTTGGTGTGCCCTCCTCTATGGGCTTGGGACCTCTGGACTTATTGTCCAAGGTGACCTGCCTGTATCTGCTCCTCGATCTTGTCATAGAGTGTTCAGCATTCTTCGATCATGTGGCCGAAGTTGCAGTGGTATCGGTAATGTTTGGATTTGTCGACGTTCGCCGGGGTGTGCCCTGGAGGTGGTAGGGAGATGAGGTCAGTATTTGCCACCTCGTCAAGGATGTGTACAGGAGGTGTGTTTAGTGGAGTGTAGAAATCATACCTTGGTCCTTTGCCTTGGCGCAATCGCTTGAAGTGAGCCTCGGTTGAGATCTTGAGTTTCTCCTTGTGGCTTGTGTTGTTGCCACTGGATGATTTTGCACGCATCTTTTCTCGGAACTCGGCATGCTCCTCCATTTGTATATACCCAACGGCTCGTGCTCACAGGTCGTCCATGTTGTTGGGTGGTTTCCTGTAGAGGCTGTCAACAAAAGGGCCCGGCTTGAGTGCCATGAGCATGGAGTGCAATGCGACCTTGGGGTTGAGGTTCCAAATTTTCACAGACACGCCAGCAAAGTGTTTCATAACTTTCCTAAGGGACTCTGTGTCGCCTTGGCGGAGGTTGGCTAGGGCAGTCGAGGTGATATGGTGTGTGCGGCTGGTGGCGTATTGAGCGACAAATCTCCTTGACAGTTAGTCGTAAGTGTTTATCGACCTTAGAGGTAGCATGGTGTACCAATTCAGGGCAAGGCCTTTCAAGGAGGTAGGAAACACGCGACACATGAAAGCGTTTTCATCGATATAAAGGTTCATTTGGGTGAAGTACGCACCTAGATGTTCATCTGGGTCTGAGATGCCTTCATATCGGTCAATGTTTAATGGCTTCCATCCCAGTGGGAGTGGCATTTCCATGATGCCATCGGCGAAAGGATGTCACCTTGCGCTGACCCTAGGTCCTAGGGATTGAAATGGTCCTTGGCTACCATCGGCCGTCCTACGATGTGCTGGGGCATGTGACCGATTTGTCGGAGGTGGCGGTTGCTATGGGATTTGCGCCCGGATTCGATCGTTCTCAGCTCGTAAGGCAGCAATGTCAGCTTCATGTTGTGCACGCATGATGGATATGGCGGCAGCGTTTTGTTGTCGCAGGATCTCGATTTGTTCGAGTAGGGTCCTTGTGGCAGCCTCTCCATCCATGTTGGGCACGTTGTTTGGGGCGCTGGTGGGTGGTCTGTTGTTGCTACGGGTAGAAACCATTGTTGTGGTCGAAGGAAATGTTTTCTTCGACCCCACGGTGGGCGCCAAACTGTTCTTACCTAAGATCGGTGTGGAGACGATCTTCGGACAAGATCGGTGAGCCTCTTCAGCTTGGTATGTCGGCTGTTCCGAGATGGGGTTGGTACCTGCGAAAGAGACTCCAATGCTTAAGTTAGTCTTTGTTGGTGTGTAAGTCTCATATATATAATGCACGTACCTTGATGCAGATTATGATTTTTACTATAAGTGATAATGGAATCGGTTACGATTTGATAAGATTAAAATCTTGTCAGTTTATCTCATCAATTAGAGAGTGGGCCGATTTGATAAGTCAGTGAGGCTTGACTTCTCTGGTATTGAGGTGGGCCCCGATACCGATGTGAATAGTACAACTAGTTTATTCTTATAATATGTTTGATTTATCGTTTAAAAGCTTTGAAACGAGAGTTTGCACATTCTAATACATGAAATGGAGAAACAACTAACTACTTGTTTTTGATTTAAATATAGTTTGTGTTGAAACAAACTTTTTTTTTCAAACATACTTAGTTTTTACATTTATTTAAAAAGTAGAATTAGTTTTTACATTTATTTAAAAGTAGAATTAAAAATATATATTTTTATTATTGATATTATTGATGTGAAATATTTATGAATGATAACCGGTTAGTAATCAACAATTTATTGAAATTAAAAAAGTACTATCTGATTGTGAACTAATTTTTTTTCTCTCTCTAGAAATTCAATTAAAAATGAAAAGAAAAAGAAAAAAAAACTATTTTCCAAATTCAGTTTTAAAACGAAATTCATTCAATTCAAGCATCCAAAATTTAGTCCAATCATACACCAAAAACAGCTTGCCATAGTAATATTAAAGGAAATACTAAAAACGAAAACAATTAATTAATTAATTAACAACCCATTTAATACCTACGAGAAGAGCGGGTTGATTTCTCAAACACGAAAAAACAA